ATTAACAGATCATAGATGCGAGTCGGTTATTGTGGTGTTTTCATGGCTCTTAAACTGCACATTGAATTGCAAATTTCAGAAGCTTCGCTCGCGAATACCCTGGCCGTTCAGGTGATTGTTCTCATTCTGGGACTTTGGCTGCTTGCAAGGAAGTGTCACTTCAGTCATCCGCTCATCCCGAACTTTGTTCAAATCCTAAATTATGTATACCACTGCGGCTCCACATGTCACACGGGCCACCTGCCTGGCTGGATCAGACCAGAATAGCCCCTAAATGAACAATGACCAGATTTAAGACCCGGAGTGCAGCTGGAAATGGTGTGAATTATGAAGAACGGAAAGCAAAGGCAAGCTGTCCTATTGCAAGCGGTCTTGTGTTCAACCTTTAATAATGTGACAGTTTCCAAGATGGTTCCCTCCTATTTCTACACACTAGCTCCCACTGCTTCTGACAGCATAGTAAAAAAAAAAGCTTAAGGAATTCACTTCTTTTTTTTTTTCCCTCCTGTGGGTTGCCCTGTCTGTAGTGTTGCAGGCAAGGCGCGTGGGCAGCTGTTTACCTTCTTCTGGCTTTTGTGATGCGGCAGTAAGTATGGCACTGTGTCTCATTCCCGGCCTTCCCTTTTCTCCCCCCCGTCTCCCCAGGTGGCGTGCAGGAAGATCCGTGCCGGGCCTGCTCCTTTGCTGTTTGAACATCCCAGCCGGCGGGGGAGATCGGAGGGGAGCTTATGAAGGAGTTGCGTCCGGGGGAGCAGCGCCCAGCGAAGACCACTCGGAGCCAGCCGCGGAGACCCGAGGGCGAGGAGGAAGAGGAGGCCGAAGGCAGGCTGCCGCAGCCCAGCGCACAAACATGGTGCGTTCGCCCCCTCTCCCCTGCTCTGTGTGCACGTGTGTGCACGTGTGTGCACGTGTGTGCACGTGTGTGCACGTGTGTGCACGTGTGTGCACGTGTGTGCGACCTTGCCCATACACGCCGTCGATGAGAGGACAGAGAGAAGAGCAGCGATTCTGCCTGCAGCCGGGAGCAGATCAGGGTAAAATCCTGGTGATTTAGTGTGGTGGACCCCACAACGGTACAAAAGTGAGAGAGGTTCCGTTTTGATTTATTGCCTTCACCTTAAAACCACAGAAAGGCACCTCCCGAGACGGCAGCTCATGCATTATTAAAGGCCAAAAAGGGGAAGACGTTCATAAATAACATCCTCTAATGAATCCAGTATTTAATGCGCTGCTGTTAACTGCCGGGTGACCTTGAGCTCTTGATCTCGTGCCGATGTCGGCTGAGCTACACGCACTGCCCCCCCCACTTCTTTTTTTGTCAGTTCGTTTGTTTTTATTTTGCCTAAAGGTGAGGATCTCTTTGGCGTTCTTGAGAATAAAATAAGGACGTCCTGATGGATATTCTTCGCTCAGCAGGTAGTTGAAATGGATGGTTGCCGGGCCTGTCAGTACATTCAGAACCAAGATCCATTGCATTAGCAGACCTGCTGACGGCTCTCATCACAAGGGTTTTGTGTGCTTTTCTAATGACTGGTGAAACATTTCCGAAGAGGAAGCTTGTTTGATTGCAATGATGATAGTTTTTTTTTGTACGTGTATTTGTATATGTAAAATGATTTTTTTTTTT